AAAACAGTACCTTTTGCCCTAGTTGTGTGGAAATATTTTTTTTTTGGAGCTAACACACAAATGGACACTTAAAGTATTTGCGCTTCAAAGTCCCAATAATTTAATTATTTTGATTAAAACGCAGAATGAACGTTTTGTCGCAGGGCTTGCTAGTTATCTTTGCATCAAATTTGACTTTCACCATTAAGTGTACGAAGGGGCATTAGGTCACTGTAGTTTCAGCGCATGCGTTACAAGGTCCTTAATCGGCTGTGAATTGAAGCTTTATGTCGCCCCTTCTGTATTGAAAAAGTAATAAAAGGCTTTCAAAAAGATGTGATTTTGTGGTACTTATTGCATTCTACGTTTGCGTCAAAGGGGTCGGTAAATCATAGAGGTTACCAGATTAAATGCCATAAAAGGAGAGGCATCTTCTAGAGACCTCATCCAACCCTTCAGTCTCTTGCAGTAGTAGTATGCGGTGATCATTTCCTCTATTCTCATTTCTTAAATGTTTGATGAAGTAGTGATGCTGTACGGAGAAATTACATGCTGATCACAATTTTCCAGAGGTTGTGTTGTTCTTTGTCTTAATGGGCAGTCAGTGTCATAATTCCACTCTTACATTTTAGTATATAAACAAAGTTGAAATGGTAAATTGGCCACCATTAAGATTATAAAAGCTGACGTTTCGAGCGTTAGCCCTTCGTCGGAGCGAATAGAGGAATTGTGGGATGTGTGTGCTTTTAAAGGCAAAAAATGGAGCTACGTGAAACCAGTCGCTAGACATATTAATTTACCTAATCATTCTAAGCAACATACGGCAATCTGCGGTCTTTCCTTACACTTAGGTAGCACGGAGAGCCGTAAACCTCTTGAACAAAAGCTCATCTTTCAAACCGGCAGTCTAAATCCCACAGGGATCAACGAACGCTTTTCATTCCACTGATTTATTCTTGTTTTTCTAGTTGCTATGTTCCTACCAATCACGTAGCTCCATTTGCTGCCTTTAATAGCACACACAACCCACAATTCCTCTATTCGCTCCGACGAAAGGCTAACGCTCGAAGCGTCAGCTTTTATAATCTTAACGGTGGCCAATTTACCATTTCAACTTTGTTTATATATTGAAATTATTTCGTTACCCCCACCGACGCAGCCCCAAACGGTTTCTTTAGAAACTATCACACTTTATTTATTTACATTTTAGTAGCAGATTGCAAGTCATATGGTAACAGAGCTAACTGGTGAAACTGACGTTACACAATACTAGGGAGAAATGACGAGGGAGCAGTCGCTTTAACACATTCAGGAGACATGGAACTTTCGTGAGTTTGCAGAAGGAAAAGAAATTGAAAGAAATTATGGGAAAAAGTTAGGTGAAGCATGGTGACAACTTATGAAAACGTGAATGCTAAGGCGTGACGAAACAATTGTGACAAAGAGTATCGACGCAAACATGAGACACATCATACGAGAAAAAAGCTCTTGAGAAAGGGAGCTGAAATTAAGTTGAAAAAAGTCTAACATCGCTTTTTCGTCCGTCGGAGCCAAGTTAGTTATTCGTGGGATCATTGTATTCCCATGTGCAGTACATTATTGGTCTAAAACACCATTAATGATCATTATTACATGACCCGTCCTGCCCCGCGCGCGCAATCCCATAGAAAACTTTAGTGGAAGCTAACGTGTGCTGCAGGGCCGGACGGGTTGACGTAAGCCGGTCTGGAAAAAGCCGTACGGCCCTGCTGCTCTCACGTCGCTTTGTCACAAAAACTTAAAGGAACACAGAAATAAAAAAAAAGGCGCACTTTTCGAGGAATTGGGAGTTTCTTGTTCTGGCTTGAAAAAAATAAAGGAAAAGTTTTAATGGAAGAATTTTTTTTGTACCTGTGTGGCTGCGTGTGTCCGTCTATCGCGTTCTATTTATGCGGAAATTTCAACACTTAGTGGTCATATGACAAAATGAACATATTTGGCCCTCGGTCATGGTCTCAGGCTAAATATTTTCGCGTCCGGCCCATCAACTCAGACAATAAGTACCCACTGCTGACCAAAGCGGTTATGTCGCGACCAAGCTCCTTAAATAACACTCTTTCGAGCTTTCTTTCTTTCCCGTTAATTTGGTAACATTTTCCCTTTTCAGGGAAAATACCATTGCTTCGTAATCAATTTTGCGGTCCTCATAGTTATCACGACTTTGAAAGAAAATGGGTCTTTTTCATTTTGCATTTAATTCATTCATTTAAAATATTGTTGAAAATAATTAAGGCTTTACGACTGTCTTCAGCTTTTATATTTCATTCAAATGATTACAAAAACAAACGGAGTCACAGTCTAGTCACAATGTCTACTAGCGAAGATTGCTTTCCTTTCACAGAATGACGTCCACGATGTATTTTCTTTTGATTTTTTTTCTCCTTTTCGCATGCAAATTTATCACATATTTTCTTTCCTCGTGTTTCGTGAATATCTAACTGTGCGTGCAGAAAATTTCAATTCCGCGCTAAATCTGTGACGTATCAGCCGACTATTGGTTGGAGTTGTTTGTCCATATTCATCTAAAATTGTAGAATTTACAGCAGACTACGCTGTCCGCCGACAAGTGAAGTCGAATAGTTCCTTTGCTGACTATAACATTTGCAAAATTGCAAGGGAAAATACGTATAAATTGTAAACAGGAGCAACGGAAAGTTGTCCATGTTTCTCCATGAGAAAGTGAGTACCTTTTCGTGGTAAAATATTACTTCAAACTCCTTTATAGAGCAGAACAAACCGTAAAACCTTAGTTGAACGCGTCAACACGTGTCAGTTGTTTGGTTGAACGACTTTTTAACCCGAAGCTCGATTGTGTAAGGGCAGCAGCTCTGCAGACGCAGAACGCATAGTTATAAATTGTCGGTGAAATTAAAAATCACTTCGAAGTTGGCCGCTAAAATAACACATGATAAATTTCCAATTGATTGGAGACGTCAATTTGTAGTTAAGCACAGCTACGTGTATTTTTGAAGACTCGTTTTCCGAACCCTCTTCCTACTGAATTTTTGTAGAATAAGGAAATGATATAGCTTTTTCCTTTAAAATTCTCTAGATTGCATATGTTCGTAAGCAGTGTTATCTGACCTTCATGTAGATTTAAAGTAGGAAGCTGTCCCTAATCAATTCTAAAATTTGTTCCAGGCAGAGAAATATATATCTACAGAAGGATGGAAGGATAAAGGGATATAATCAAGAAGAAGACATGGGAGACACTGAACATCAAGAGGATAACACAAAGATAAGATGTTTTAAATTATTGAGTAACAGTAGCAAAAATGGTGGCTCTCTATTTACTGCAATCCTGTAAGAAAAGTTAAAAGTTGTCCGCGCACCAGTTTCCTGCTGTCGTTCAAGACGTGCTCCGAAATGGAAATAATTAATTGGTGAGTGAATATTGACTGAGTCACCATTCATGTTAATTTGTAAATGGTACGGATTGTTTAACAAACCTTGAGCGGTCGTGAGTTTTATTTGCTTATATCAACTGTAGCTCTACTTTGGAGCCATCGTTAATAGAAGCTCGTTCAAGTCTATTTTTTGGAGATTTATCTAAGAAAACCGAATAGTGTAGATTACATTGCGAACCCAAAAACAAGAGGAGCACGAAACGTTTAACGAATGCAAGTAGATATTGACCAATCAAAACGGTTGATCATCATAATTCTAACAGCAGTTCATATCTTTTAACTTCTAACATCGCCTCGGCCAAATGCAGTAGTGAACATTATTGTTCTGAAATTGACAAAAAAAAGCTGAAACTAAAAACTGAATTTTTGTTTTTTCGTATCGATCGCTCATATTTTGTTTGCTTAACAGTTGGTATCTCAGTAACATCCTACTTGATGTCGCAAAAAGGTGATACGTGTTTTAATGGCACTGCAACTATAAAAACCTCAGAAGAAGACCAAATATGAAATCCCTAAATTCGAAGCAGGAAATAGGAGAATTAATCTAAAAAAAAGGTTTTCAAGAACATACATACAATTGACCGACAAACCACTCTGTTGAATGGAAGAACTCAATTACTGGCTTTGGAGAGCTAGCACACTAACTAAGGACAGACCCTTTAAATGGATGTAAAAAAACAA